CGGCCACGTCGAGGAGCCGCTGCAGGTCGACGGGAGTCCGGGCGACGAGTGCCAAGTCGTCCGCGTACGCGAGTGAGTGGACCGCTTCCTGGTGCAGCTGATATCCAGTGTTTAGGTTGGACAGGGCACGAAGGATGGGCTCGAAGGCCAGGTTGAAGATGATGGGGCTCAGCGGGCATCCCTGCTTCACCCCTGCCCCGATGTCCACCGCCGGTGTGTAGCCGGCACAGCTGCGGATGGTCGTGGTGTTGCCGGCGTACAGCCTGCGAACGACCTCTATCGCCTCGCTGTCCAGGCCGGCCCACTGCAAGGCGGTAAAGATGGTCTCATGCGGTACTGAGTTGAATGCATTGGTCAGGTCCAGCCACGCAATGCAACACTGCTTGCGGTTCTGGCGGGCATCCGTGACGACCGACTGCAACACGAAGTTGTGTTCAGCACACCCGTCCATCGGCAGGAACCCCTTCTGACTGGGACTGATGCGCTGGTTGCGGGCCGCCCAGGCGCCCAATCGCTCCGCCAACACTGATGCATACACCTTCGCGCTGGTGTTGCTTAGGGCGATCGGCCGCCAGTTGGTGATGTCGGTCTTGTCCCCCTTTTTATACAAGAGGATCGTTTGCGAGGTCGTCCACGTCCGCGGAATGTGAGCCAGCCGCGTTACGCCGTTGAAGACGGCTGCAAGGATGTGGCCGCCCGCGTCAAATTTCTTCCAGACGGAGTATCGAATTCCGTCTGGGCCCGGCGCGGTGTTCTTGCAGCGGCGCAGTCGTTTCCATACTTCCGAGGCGGTGAAAGAGTCCGCAAACGGGTTCCGGTCGTTTTCTGCCGGCGAGTCGTAGCGCGGTACCTCCTCAGGCACATCTGCCATGTTTTGAGGCCCCCGGCGGTAGACACGGGAGAAGTGCATGTGTAGGTCCTCAGCCGGGATCTGGCAGAAGGGGGAGGTAGCCTCTGTAATCTCCCGGAAAGCACGGGGTCGGCATCTACGGTAGAGTCTTTGGATGCGGGAGGCGGCCTCCGCATCGTACGTGGGTCGCCGTCGGCTGCGGGGTGCCGGGTTAGGGGCCGGCTGGCGGTAACGAGTGGTCGGCTGACGAGGGGCCGTGACCCGGCCTATATTCTTTGCCTCTTCCTCGAGGCGGAGGAGCGCGTCGTCCAGCTCGGCGGCGCTCTCGACGTTGTTGAAGAACGCGACCCATTCCAGCTGCCTTGCCGTTGCCCTCGTTGGGTCCGGCGGTGGGGTGCCCTCCACGTCTGTGCCGTCCGCGGTGGTCAGGACGGCCGGTGGCACGTTGTCACTGTGTGTCTTGTATCGGTGTCAGCTTGGTGTCTGTGGCCTGTATTCTCCAACGATGCAATGGTATGTGGAGTTTGAACTGAACTATCAGGCTCACCTGTTGTAGACACCAAGCTGTCCGTTGCGGGCACAGCTCGAACCTCAGCCCGTTCTGATGCGGGCGCAGCTAGCACGTCAGCCCGATCCGCCACGGCACCGGGGGAGTTGCCTCCGACCGCTGCCGCCGGGACGGGCGAGTCGCCAGCCGTAGCCGCACTTCGTGGTGGTTGGTCTCGTCCTTGTCTCCTACTCCTTCCAGTCTGAGGGCGCGGCAACGTGACAGTGCACTGGGCTCGCCGTGCCTGGTCTCGATGCCACTGCTGATGGTTTTGCAGCCCACGCTTCGTAGGGTAGGTTTCCTCACATTCCTCACACCGGTAGGCGAAGAAACCGCCGGCCGCATCCCCTGCGGTGAGGGATAAGAGCATGCATGGTAAGTAGGTCTCAAGCCCAAAGCGGAGTTGCACTTACAACATATGTTGGCGGTGGCCCGGATCCTGATGTTATGGTCCTTCTCTAGGTGGCGCTCTAGCGATCTCCTCGTTGCTGTCCAGGATGCAGCTCTGAAGGTCGACCTGCAGCCCTGCTCCGTACATTCAAAATGGTCAGCTACCGGAAATCGAACTATCAGCGTCTCTCCCTGCCTCTCCACTGCTCTCTCTGTCGCACACCAGCTCCGCCGCGTGACAACAGAACTCCAAGGTTCAATAACTAAAGCTGAAAGAAAGAGAAAACCTCATCCACACAATTATTACGCTAATACACGTACTTAAGATCGTTCTGCCATCGTCACCACAGACATTTAGCAGGTCAGTACAGTGGCAACGGTCGGCAGTTGGCGGATTCCAACCATCATCAGGCTATCATCACTCAGCGGTTTTCCTCAGTAACTACAGAGTGACTCTCTACCTCGTCATCTACTTCATCACCGAACGTCGTTTAATAACTTAATAACTAGACTCGTATTTTGGATGTTCCAGAAGCTGCACATTTTTCTTGGTGCCCTCGTCAGAGGTGCAAACCCATTCCATTGTAACTTCCTTCTTTTATGTATATTGAGGGAGTTGTAAAAACGGCGAAATTCCCCTACACTCTGTTGCCCACTTAATCTAATCATCTCGTCTGTCTACATTAAATACCTAATCACGCAGCGGGAGATTGGGTAACATCATAGAAGGCATTGTTAAAAATAGTCACATTTAAGAAGTGTAGTGTAACAGTCCAAATTACATCTTCTGCTGATGTAGACTTAATCATACTGTTTAATTTCTTATTATTCATTAACCTGAATTTATTTTAGTTTCCTTTTCAAAATTGTAACTTTGTGTGGTGTTTGGAGTGTTGTACTGGGACAGATACTTCCATTTCGTGGCATCTACCCAAGTGATTAAGACACAGATGTGCGAGGACCTTCGAGGCCTGGAAGTTTTGGTTTTGACTTTAATGGATAGTAATTTATCGTGACTTTGGTGTAGCCCCATGTGTCACACTCTGACATTTATGGTTTCAGTATGCCAAAAGTCAGTTTGGACATAAAAGTTCATTGTCACTCACCGGACTGTGCATTTTAAGGAGTGTCAATGAGGCAATTTGAAAGAACCGATTAGACGCAAGAGTTGCATGTAAGGTTTGAATGTTTCGAACCAGGGACATGCCGCTTCCATCAGCGCGTCGGTTTGGCATTTGGCTACAAATTTTGAACGGGAAGCAAATCTGACACTGGAACTCCTCCTGCAGTGGCACCTCCACCTCGTAGCTGTCGTCCGGGGTCTGCAGCGAGACGTCCATTGTGGACCCTATTCGATCGACGGGGCCATACGCCTATCGCTAAATTATTCATGTTAGTAAGTACTATTCTAGAAGGCTGGCGTCATCCGCCTACAGGATGTACTTAAATTAAACCACTTACTTAATTGATTAATTTCAATCAGAGGTATACAACATCTAGGAATACACGTGACATGGTGTTTGATACCTTCAATCGACCTCTGCATGTTTGGAGTCGTTTGTTAAGTTTACCAATTTCGCCTTGCGACATGTTCAGGATATGAGTACGGTAACCAGCTCTACTCTTGCATCCGAGCACTCACTTCTGGTA